TACCAAATAACTTTTATGTAGCTTTTAAATTTAACTTGAGGTTGTTTTATGCATTTGCTAATTAACAATGAAGACAAAGATGAATCCCCTTCAATAATTCAGTTTTAATGAACTTTCCTGCTAATACAAAAGATAAAAAAAATAAAACTCCAATGTATTATTCCTGTCAAAATTTATAACCAAGGACATGCAAAGTAGCAGAAATAAAATATAAGAAAACTAAATCATTTTTTCTTTAATCAAGTAAATTAAAAAGAATCAAAATTTAAATGTTAAATTTAAACAGTGCAGTCTGTGATCTGTGCATTCTGCTATCTGTCTACACTTTGCTGCATCTAAATTTTACAGTCACAGGTCTCTATTGAAATGGAGGAAAGTCAGCATCTCGACTCGCTCTCCTCTGAGAGCAGATATTCTCTCTGATAGTGGATGGGAAAGTGACAAAAGTTTGTGGCAAACTTCTCTATAAACTGTTAAATTTGAATGATTTTGTGTAAACACTTCAACGGTAATCCTTTGTCCAGCTGCCCTGTATATTCACGTAGAACTACCTCCTTAAACTGTTTGTGAGCGGAGCCAAACATTCGCGGAGAACAGAAACCTGTTTGGAAACGCTCTCCTGTGTTGGCCGAACGTTACCGCACTGGTGGCCTCGACGTTAAGACGATGTTGCAGTGTTGAAAAGTGTGAACGTTATCTGGAAAGTAAACAGGGTCGCTGTGAATAATAGTTGCTTCTCTGTTGCAACTCCATTAACGATTCCAGAGAACATGCATTTCGAAAAAGAAAATGTTACAGTTCGGCTCGTAACATGAAGTAGGACGGAATTGAACATTAGAATTAGCTAACTAGCACACCACACACTTATGTACTTCACACACTACACTAATGTGTGCACTTATAATGGTATATGCGTTGTTTTTACACACTATTTAGTGTGCTAGTATGCGGTTTGGGATGGGGCGTATCTTATTGAGATGAATCTTCTTCACCCAGTGAGCCGACAAGTTTCCTCTTCAGATGCTCCAACATGAAGGATGTGCTCTCATGCCAGCTAAGGTCAGCATTATAAATAGAACAACTGAAAACTTTTTTTCTAAGTTTAGCTCCCACACTTTTGAGGATTTTGTTCTTGAGGCTGCCATCGGGCTGTTGTTAAGTCTCCAATAAGCGGTAAGATCAAAACGTTTCTAGTGAGCGCAAGAAAGATGCGTAGTGACATCACCAACTAATCGACTACTAAATTAGTTGGCAACAAATTTGGTTGTCGATTTTAGTCAACTAAGTCGAGTAATGGTTGCACCCCTATTGTGTAATGTTAAAAAAAACACTTGGTGGTTGATTAGCAACAGGTCAGTAACATGATATGGGTATAAAAAAGCTTCCCAGAGAGGCTGAGTCTTCAAAAGTAAAGATGAGGAGGGGTTCACCACTCCACTGTGAAAGACTGCACTATCATATAGTGCAACAATTTAAGAATAACGTCTCTCAACATGAAATAGCAAAGAACTTTTGCTTTTCATCATCTTCTGTACATAATATCATTAAAAGATTCAGAGAAACTGAGAAGGGTCTGACTGCAGACATGCAATCTCAGCCTGACATGCACTGCCAGCCTGTTAATGACGTCAGTGGACGCTCTGCCATGACAGTGTTTTTGTCGGGTTTTATGAGGGAAAACAGCGAAAGACGTACTGTTGAGCAACAAGAATTACACTGAACATGTTTTAACATTGCCATACTTGTAATAAGGTAATTAAATATGTAAACTTTTAAAATAAAACCTACTACGACAATAAGACATGAATGAAAGCCATGCTGAAGACGATTAGAACTGGTTATCAAAAACAGTAACATTGTTTAAAATAGAACTTATTAAGGATTCTAGAAGGTTGTGACAACATACAGTCAACGTAGTCAACGTATTTTTGCTGTCTCGTCAACATTTTCACAACCTCCTAGAAAGCTGTCAGACAACGTTGTTATAACTTTCTGAGGAATTACATTTCAATATAGAAAGCACCAAGCAGACAGCGTTGTGGGCACCAAAACAGTACGTTGTCACAACGTAACTGTGTTTGCAGGGCCGTTAGGAATAAAACCTGATGGTTTTGCTTTCTAATGGGAATTGGCTTGATGGTTGCCCTTAGAGGCCATTAGGAAATGATTAAATGTATGTGGAATAAGTCCCCAAACACCTGATTAAACGATCAGAATCTTTTACACTGTGAAGTCAACCCATCAGGAAAACACACAACACCATTAGCAACTACTGAAAAACACCAGGAACCAACAGACACTTTTAATGGGTTCTATGACTTTTATAAGAGGGCGGTTCATTAAACGGAATTCTCCAGCTGTGTTATGGACGAAAAATGGATTAAGTGACGATATCGATAAGCAGATGCAGCTTCTGCCGTTGTGGAGTGAACGAATACCATTGCCATGAAGGGGTGTACCTGGTCTACAACAATGTTTAGGTGAGTATGACGTGTCAATTTGATGTCTACATGAACGCCTGGACCCATGGTTTCCCAGCAGAGCATCGCACTCTGTCCACTGGTGTGTCTTTTTCCCCAAGCACATCCAGGTGCCATCACAGCGCACACACACCCAGCCGTCCACAAGACTCATTGACACAATACCTTTCTGTTGCTTCAGGCTAGATGGTTATTTTGATATCAAAGTGAAACAGAAATAGCTTAGTTAGACTAGTTGATAAAAAAGTAATGGATGGAACAATTATATTCATTACATCTAGCCCTAAAATAATCCATTCTCTTTCTACAATGTCTGACAAGATGAATATTTGTGCTCTGATTTGTTGGTCCATATTAACTGAATCACCCACACCACAATAAACACACACAAACACCAAGAAAACAAGGAGAAACCCACACGAAAAAAGAGCCTTCTCTTTCCTCTGTGTCAAAAGGCTAATACTCTCAATGATGCTTTTCCAGGCTTTAGCCTGCGCACAACTCCAAATCTCCTGTTTACTCAATCGATGAACTCAGGACTACTCGCGTCCTCGTATCTCCCTGAATGAGCCCATGTTTTATTAACTATAAATAGTCCTTGGGGCTCCCGAGTGGCGCAACCGTCTAAGCGTTGGCCCTGCCATCAGGAGATTGCGAGTTTGATCCCTGGTGATGCTAGAGCCATCCGTAGCCGGGAGTCTGAGAGAGCACAATTGGCCTCGCTCTCTCTGGGTGGGTAGGATGGCCCCTCCTTCTCCCCCCAACACTCAGCGTGATGCTAGTCAATGCAGGCGTCTGTTAGCTGACATAACAGATCTGGCGGTTGGCGCTTTCCTCCGAGCGCGTTCGGCTGTCCAGTGACGTTGCGTGAGCGGCAGTTGGTTGGCTTCACAGGTGTCGGAGGAAGCCTGTGTTAGTCTTCACCCTTCTAGCGTTGATAGTATCGTGTGATTGGGGGAGTCCTAACTAGCGAGTGGAATTGGAGACGACCAAATTGGGGAGAAAATTGGGAAATTTTTTTTTGAGGAGAGCACTTATAAAAAAAAACAAACAAACAAAAAAAACTATTTATAGTTATAGTCTTAAGATAAAGAGAAGTACGATTAGATTGATCTATCTCAGGCAAACACAATCATCCATCTTCTTCTAATCACACTACTCCTGCCATCGGCTGCTACAGACCAGAGTGCCTATCTGGCAGCTGCTGCCATATGACTTCCTGGTTACTGTGGTTACTAATCTGTCCTTAATTCACCTACAATGATATCCAAAAAAAAATCCAATTCCTGGAAATAAGGCACTCTGTCCTTACTTCATCTGAAGTAATATCCTGTGGACATAATTCCTGTAGTAATGTTCCCTGTTCTAGCATCGACCCTTTCTTTTCAGTTCACCATAAGTCACAGTAATAATCACTCATTCAGAGAAAAGCAGTGCAAAGGCAGAGGCTTGGAAAGATAATTTATATCTGACTTGTGGATTATGCCATCATAGGTGAAGAGTCTATAAAAGAAAAATGACAAGGTCTTCAACGTCGAAGTGCTAGAGAGGTTCTGGGACAAATCCAGGCCAACAGCATGAACAAACTTTTAACTATTCGATCATAACTGTCGGAAATGCTAAAACAATAGCAGTCCTGCCACTGAGCCAAGCTCTGTCATTCTAAAATGTGGCAATATTTCTGTTAATAGAATGCTCATGCAGGACTCTGCAGGACTCATGCTAAAAATCATGGAAGCTAAGCAAGTTGTAATTGCTTGCATCTAATGGCATAATTGCTGCATGAATATTAACAGGCATGTTAATATCTCATTATCATTGCCAGTTCTCATTAGGAGTGACAACTGCTCTCTGTCTGGCCAGAAGCACAAACTAAACCTAGCTGACAGACCAAACCGGCTAAACATCTCTGGAACTACTAGCAGAAGCTAGTAAATACAAGAAAGAATGACAGGCGGACCACTAATGTTCATCATTACAACTGAGAAACTGTTGATCAGGACTGTTTGGGTTCGGTTTGCAAAGGCTTTGGATTATGAAACTCTGAGGGAGATGAGACTTAGTTCTGCTGGCTGACAAAGTACTATGTCCATAAATGTAGTGGAACCTAGCCTTCAGTCTAATGTGAATGAAAAGAGATGTTGTTACTAAGCAGCTGGATGTTTTTTACTCTGAGGGATTATCAAAATCACTCAGACTGTAGCTTCCTGGTTTTTGAAAGCTACAAGAATACAAAATACACATTTATGATAGTGAGTTGTCTAAGAAAGATCAATTTTTCAACACTCTGTCAAAAGTTCATGCATTATTTGTCAAATGTCAATGTTGTAGCTGTGACACAAGGTACATTCCATAGGGTTTTTGGTAAAATCATATAAACAGACTAATCATGACACTATAGCAAATAAGTGCCTTAAAATGTATTAAGCGCCTCCTGAATTGCCTTCACTGGCCTGTAGACTGAGTAGTGTCTGCTCATAGGTCACAGCCACATTTCAAAAGATGGAAATCAGGCCTTACCAGGGTCTTCTGGCACTGTATGCTGGTGCTGTTGAAGCGCAGTGCGGTGACACTGTACTCTTTGCCCTGGATGTGGAAGATACACTCGTAGTTTCTTTGACCTGACTGTGGCTGTGGAAGGTTCTGGGCTAGCAGTGTGACAGGGTTTCATTACGCCCACTGGGATGTAGATTTGTGTGGAAGGCAGGATCTGAGGGCATTCCTGAAGGAAACAACGAAACATATGAGATGATACTTTGCCATCTTCCGGGAAGACTTTGCAAAATTTAAGGACAGCATGGAAGGACAAAAACCTCTACATGTAATTATACAAAGATATGCATTTTTTATTAAGCATAAGGTTCCGGGTGGATGGTTCCAGGTTCAACAACAGTGACACACAACTTGAAAGGATGTACAGCATTTGTAAGTCACTGTGACTGCTCAAAGCCTGCAGTCGCCCAGTGATGTTGCCACATAAAGTGTGAATAAAGCAGAAAACATAGGGGTGGGAGGGCTTCCACCACTATTGGGCCACCACTACCGTTGTCATGCCAACAGATTGAGGAATCAGAGCATAGAAATAGAATTAATTCTTTTTTGTTGAGAGCAACGTGACTTTTAGAAAGAGTTCATTGCAATATCTACACTACATGTCACCATGATGACACTGAACAATGCATGTACATTTTTTGTATATAATTCCTCCACAACACATCAAGTTCCAAACTACCCTCCCATAACACTGACTACATCATGGCACTATGTACTCATTCAACGCAAACAGACTGACACATCACTAAAAATCTATCTTTAAAAAATCTGTAAAAAACAGAAAATGTACTCACAAAAATTTTTTTGTAAAATTAACAGGCAATTCAGTCACTCATTTAACAGAAAATGGGAAATTGTTAAATTACATACATATGTACATATTCTGTGTATATACAGGGCTATTTGTTTTATTCATAAATCACAAACGTGTCCTTCAACTCAAAAAAGAAAAAAAAAATTATATGCTCCACTAAAACCCAACAAATATATTGTTTGGCTGGTACCTGTCATCATTGACAAGTCGCAGATTTAGCAATATCCACAAAGACATTATTGATAATAATAAACCAATAATCAGTGACTTTTTTTGGGCTATGGCATCAGCATGATTCAAACATGTGATATCCTGACAAAAGAGCAAAACTTTACAAATTTGCCAACTAAGAGCCCAGTCAGCAAGTGCTAAAGTCACCATCTGTTTACTTTTCCAACCAGAAAACAAGCTGTACTGGTAAATTTGAATACAAAACACCATCATGGTGAACAAAACAAAAACATGTTAAATGCATCCAGCCCTACACTTTAGCATGGAGATAGCAAACGGAACATTTTCTGTGTTACAACGCATTACAACAAATTTTAGTTTCCTTTTTTTGATCTTATTCTCTTTTGTTTTATTTATCTTATTTTATATTTTAGTAAGGCTTTAATTATTGTTCTGTATTTATTGTTTTGTATGTTGTTTTTATTATTTATGTTTCATTTTTTATATCATCTTTGCATTGAGTCATTTTTATTATTACATTTATTTTTATTATTTAATATGGTCTTACACATTATCAATCCCTTTCTCCTGTATCAACTCGACAACATTGTAAATGACGGTCACCCTCAATGTTCGCCGAGGTTAAATAAAGGTTGACTGATTGATTGATTGAAAACTGTTCTTATAAAATAAGAAGTAATTAAGACTAAAACCTCACAGAATTCTGGGTAACCCTGTCCTCAGTGATACATTAAAAACAGAGTATCTGAAGTAAAATCTCATCATTACAAATGAACGATACAACTGATTCATTACAATTAAATGTTTCTTTATTTTCTCATTCCAGCATTTGCCCCTAAATATCTCTTAAATATTGAAATACTCTTCTCCTTTAACTGGAAATATTCAATGTTTATCAGGGAGGCTAACTAGCCACTGTTATTCCTAGTTTATGGGCAAAGCATTAACATTTCTGGGAAATTGTAGCACATGCTGACTGATTAAGGAAGTTAACACCACTGTAAAAAGTCACAGGAAGAGATATGGCTTATGCTAGCTTGTTCGCTAACTTAACAGCTACCTGAGTTATGCTAACTCCAGGTATTGTTTAATGCTGTAGCCACATATCCAAGTTAATACTACACCTAACATTTTCATACAGTTATATACATAATAACAACATATTTTATCACCATGGTTAAAAAGTAGCTAGGTGCTCTCTCTCATGATGAAAGAGCAGTTTTCTCCTCTAATCTTATTTGACTGGTGCACTCTCTGCTGTAGCTTTAAGGAGTGCAGTAACAGGTAAACTACCCAGCAAGCAACGCATGCTTGGAAATACAGAAAAGTGACAGTGAAATGCAAAAGGAAAAAATCTTATTCAATTTTACATAAGAATAACCTGTTAAGAAATGTTTTTTTTTCAGTGCATAGCAGATAAATTTAATAACAATACATTTACAACCCTTTTAACTAGCTACTATTTTCTTACCGTCCCATCCCCATTTAACATCACTCTGGTTCTCACTAAAGGCAAAGTGTGTGTTTAAGTCTTCAGGAGCGGCACGTCAGCGCCTTTGCTGTACTCAAAGCTCTTTAAACAAGTACGACGGGAATGAGGCATGCAACATACACAAAGGTGAGGATTTCAGTACTAATGAAAAGGTGTGATTTGTTCTGAGTCAATGAAGGCCTCCACAGTAGGCAAAAAGTGGCCTTATCAGTGTCTGTAGAGATTGACAGACAATCCTATTGTTTGGCTCATTAGAGTAAAAAGTTTAATGAGAAACATTTCTGCACAGTTTGCAACACCATTTTCTTTTGATATCTGCATTCTAAATTCACATACACTTTCAAAGTCTGCCCATGTTTCGGACGTGTTTAATTCTGACTTTTCTACTGGTCACACTCTGTGTGACTAAATAATAAAAAAATGAAAATCAGTTGGGGGTTCTTCATCATCATTAGTTCTGCCATCTTTCTCTGTTTCGCTGCTTTTTCTGGGTATCAGATTGTTTTGCACTGAACAGGCATTAAATCACATTTAACTTGTAAGTTTGAGCTTGATTTAGAAAACAATCAATGAAAGTACGCTTAATTTAGCAACATGCATTTTTCAAGTGCAAAGGACTAGCCACAGAGAAAAAAGAGGATAAAAAAAGGGATGATATCAAGTGTGCCAGACCTACTGATTAAAATTTAGAGATTATGTTCTTTTCCTGTTTCTATTTCATGTTTGTGCCATTTATCCTAGCTATACAAAGGTAATAAATAAACCATAGCCAAAGCCATAAACAACACAATGTCATTACACAACATTTAATGAACTGCTACAACCATCTAAGAATGACTGTCTCTAAAACAGGAATACAACAGGAGAGTCTGGACAATGAAATTTTATGTGTGTCGTGGTGCCCAACACACTATACTAGCAGGTAAACAGCTTTAATATGAACACAAGAATGCTTTATTTATATTCAATAAATCACATTAACAGCATTATTTCATGAATGTTCCTTTGGTTAAGCATACCATTAATAGCTCAACCAAAAGAACAGTCGTGAAGGATCATTCAAAGTTACTTGCTGTTCATGACGGGAATGACACACATAAGAGAGGAAAAATGAGCTAAAGAGAGCAAAGAAGAAAAGAGCAAGCTGAGAAACTTTCATTAACTGTCCTGACAGGTGTCAAAACAAAGTTGAAAGAGCAGATCAGATTGCACACCTGCCTAGCACAATGGAACAATTTTGTACCTGGGAGATTTGTTTATAGGGTCTCTCCTTTTTCCACCTTCTGCCTTTATTTGCTTTAAAACCACTGCAGCTCTAGTGAGGCTGCAACACAGGTTAGTGCACAGTGAACTGCCCCAACACAGCACGCCCAGTGTAGTGAGGAATGTTTTGTTCTTGTGTTTGTCAGCTAATAAACTCGGCACTACGCCTGAATCCAAAGCTTCGGTGAAGAATCATTACTCGCACAAAGTGGTCACAGACCGATACAGAGGGGTTACACTATGCCACATGCTAATGAGCGTGGCAGACAAGAGGCATCCATACAGTTGTCTGGCTGTTCTAAATGCATATTCAATTAATGCACTTTTACATCATAGCTTCTACAAGAGGTTCCGATCCAATTTCAAATTTAACATACTACCAAGCTGTGTTTTGAACAATATGCACGTTGAGTAGTTGCATATTTTATGTGGAATTTAATATTGCATTAGCAGCCCTGATTATTTATGGCATTATGGAGAATAAACACAGTGCAATAAGTTAAAGAAATGACTGATCCACAAGCTCAACTTCAAAAAGATGGTACAAGATTAAAATGTGGGAAGCTGAGGAGCCAATGCTGCATCTGGAATAAACACAGATCTCGTCCCGAAAATGCCACCATATGGTCAGCAGCACTAAGAAAGAAGACAAGGTTGATTTTTTGGCTTTCCTAAGTCTGATGCCTGGAAGCAGCAACTATGCTATTCGACTGTTTGTTTTGCTCAAATGCAGCCTCCAGCTATGCTTTTGGAAGCAAAAACATTTCTGCTCATTCTCTTTTTCTCTTTTTCTTACACTATGCTGTACTGCAGAAATTCTGCTCACAGTATGCTATGAAGAACAGTTCAGTCTGCAAACAGAGCAAAGGGACAACCACAAATTGTATTTTTTTGTGCCTGCAGTGCTTAATGCTTTGAGCAGAATAGATTAAGGTGTCTTATATTAATTAAGAGATTTTGAAGGTAATGTATTTGGCCCATGACTCACTGTGCACAACTATTCAAAAGTATACAAAGTACAGAGTACCTTGCATTAACATGTGCTTTGGTGATCGGATCACAACGTATGTATTGACAAGTTTTTTACATGGGAAAAGTACAATCGGATCTCATGAAAAGCTAAGTGTAAACACCCCCAGGATGCATTGTGAGCACTGTGATTACAATCGGATCACTCAAATCACATTCAGATGCGGTCAGAGACAGATATCGACGGCACAAATGTATCCACAAACGTAAACAGGATGCATTGTCGTTAGATGTATGCAATTACATCAGCAGAAATTAGTCTGCTGAGTGCTGAATAACAAGTGAGGGGATAAACAATGAAAAGGAAGATGGAAAATATGAAAGGGTGAAGCTGCAAACCAAGAGCCTTCATGCACTCCAGGCCAATGAATGTGTCCAA